AAGAAACAAATTAGAAGTAATGTGATAAGTAATGAGGGGTGAATTATAACTGATAGACATTGTATAGTAGTATATATAGCAGGGTATATATGAATTGGTAAAAATATTAAGGTTCTAAGTTAAATCAGAATTTAGTATGCTTTTTGATAGAGGTTCCCAAGGTAGTCCATCTTATATATGAGATAGTGCAAACTAACGATATAAACTAAATCTGGTAGTTTGGGATTTAGGTAAAATCCCAAAAGTTTTTACCGAATTCTACATTTTGTTAAAACCCAAACTATATTTGGAACTAGTTAAAACTTTCAACACGTAATATTATTTGATTAGCTAATTACATGAGATAAGAACGCTATGTTTTGTTATTATTTAAAACTTAGAATTTATACAAAATAAAAGATAGCACTAATGACCTAATTAAAATAAAAACTACGAATCTATTTTACTACTTATATAGTATTTTATTTAGAAAAAGCCTATAAAATTCTATAAATAAAAATATAAAATAATGTAATTTTTAACAAGTATTATAAAATATATCTATGGTGTTTTAGCACCTATATATAATTTCTTTTAATAAAATTTAGAGTTAGAGTTAGGAAATTAAGAAACTTTTTTTTATATAATATATTATAGAGCTAATTTAAGGGCCCGATAGGCCCAATCTCTGTTTTTATAAGGTTTTTGGGAGTCCTAAATATTTTTACTTAGAGAACCTGATTCCATTTACTTAGTATGTTTTTGAGAAACGGGACCTATAGTGTAAAAACACCATAGGTACATTTTAGTAAAAGTGATTTTCAAATAATAAAACCTAAAAGTAATAATGAATAAATTTTGTCTTTTTTTAAAAAAAACAGAGAAATTATAAAATGATATTATTTAAATGCCTATTTAAATTCAATATATAGCCATGGTTTAGTCTGCGAGCTATACATAACTATGAATATAATAAAAAAAAGTGTAAGCCCAAAATAACTGAGTCCAAAATTTGTTGTGGTATTTAGTTAATATCTTGCTGAAAAAATAAATCACTATTAAGAGAAGCTTAATGCTTATAAATAATAGAATAAAGTCATATACAGTATATCAACTAAAAACAGCATACCTTTTATAAAAATAGAACATACTATATATTATAATATGCTTATAATATATTTGCTAATCGAAGTTTACTTTCTACGATTGCTATAGGATCAAACTCCATATTACCGCTTCCTTGTTTTACCAAATGAGACTTCTATATCTTCTTGTTTACCAAAACTTTTATATAACAAATCAACTATTGATCCAATTTCTAATCTTTCACTATTTAAAAATTGAAATGATTCTAAAGTATTATTTTGTTCTAAAGCCATATTATTATTTTTTATGTTAGCATAGGTTGTTAGTTCCAATACACTATCATGTAACTCATCTTCTAATAACTCTTTTTCATAAAATTGAAGTTTATTTTTAAGGTTGAAAATATAAAAAGAGTAAATTTTGGTTATGTTTTCAAGTCATTCAGGAAATAATTACAAATGATACATGCTATCTTAAAATAGAAAAATTATGCTCACAACTTGCTTGTAAAGGCATAATTGAAAAGATAATTTGAGCAAGATTTAGAAGATCGTTACTTTCATTTTCAATTATATTCTACTATAAACTAGGTGATTTTAAAAATCATATTTAAAATTAAATGGATAATCATTTTTTTTATAATGAATTAGTTTTGTTGTCATCTGTCTGCATGAACGGATAATCATTCTTTTTATAATGAATTAGTTTTGTTGTCATCTGTTTGCATAAGGCTTCACCATTGTAGATACTTTTGTAAAATTTAGTGGCTATTTCATAAATTTGTTAAAATATTTCCTTGTACAAACCAAGACTTATATATTAAAAAAATAATTTATATATATATATAAAAATAAGTATAAATATAATTTCACTCAAGTTTTCTGTTCAAAGTATGTTTTTATATGTATAAAAGAAGTTAAACCAAATAAAAGTTATATTACTTATACAAATATATATAATCGTATATATTGTCATAGTAGTATCAAATACAATATACTGTATATAGTGTTTGAATTAGAATACCAACACACACTATATAGTATTTTAAAGTATTTATTGTTATATAGTGGCCTATTATATTATTGTGGACACTTTTTAAAAATTTGTATAAAGCTAAATATGTAAGATAAAAATCTAAAAATTAAAATATAAA